GAGCACGCAAAAAAAAAAAAAAAAAAAAAAAAAATATATATATATATATATATATATATATATACCAAATTCAAAGTCCAACCAGATAATGCTAACTAAAAGCCCTAGAATCCATCTATTAGTTTGTATCAAAGGAAAAATTTTCACAAATGAGGAACTTCTGTTACAATGCCTATGTATACTGCAGAATATCACCAAGAGGTCAGTTATAGCTGTCTAACAAATGACAGTTATAAATGACTTTAACAGAAAACTGACAAGGAAAAAATACCTAACTATTTTTCAAGGCTGAAACCAGATTGTATTTCACTACTTGTATGAGAATTCTCTATCACGAGAACAAATAGCTTACATTTTGCAGTCTAATGAAAAAGAGGAACAAGCTATGAACCAAATGTGATAAAGATATTTCCACTTTCAACCACTGAAAACAACAAAGTTGGTCGGGAAAGGCAACAGGATAATGACTAGTAATTAGCTTAGCGTACCTTGCTAAATGAACCAAGAGTCAAAGAGATATTTCCACTTTCAACCAGAGAAAAAACCATGGTATCATCCAACTCAATCGCACGGCCATAAGACTGATGGATAGAAATTGGGGGATCAATCTTCCAGATGATTTAAAAGAAACTGAAGCAAAGTGATACCTTTATAGCTGCAGTAAACCTGCCCAGCCGCTGATAAGCAAGACCCAGAGCCTAAAAAACTTTTAAATACTTATCAAAAAAGGTCCAAAGCCTAACAAAATTTTCAAATATTTATAAGAAAAAAATAGGGAACGGTAAATTCAATGAAAGAACAGAGTTCTGAAAATTACTTCCCACAAATTAGCACATGTAGGATAGCCTCTAAGGGCATGTTGAAGACTCTGAACAGCTTCACACCATTTCTTTTTGTGAACCTGTAAGTTAATGAATAAAAATCAATAAATGTCAGTCTCAGCCTGAGTTAATTAAAGAGAGGTTAATTGAGGATATAGACAGATGTCAAAAGAATTTTTTTTTGCAAATTAAATTGTTTGATCTGGCTTTGATAGGAATAATGTGTAGAATGCAGTTGTTAGGCGAGTCTACAGAATACAGAAGAGTGTGGTATACAGAAAAGGCGAAAGCTGACTTAATAAATTCTTGAAAAATAGAAGAAATCGAAAGAAAGAAAAACCTGCAAGAAACCCAATCTTCGGAAAGCCCAGAAAGCTCTCGGTGACATTTCAGAAGCTTCCCGGCATACGACCACCTCTAAACTATCATTTCCACATTGGTCAAGTAAATTGCACAGAGTTTCCTGATGTGAAAAAAATAATGAAAATCAGAGTTAAGTGACGGAAAGGAAAATCATCACTTCATTTTTCCATAATGTTGATTATTGAACCTTTCAAATGGAACAGACGAGAAAATACGAAGCTTACCCCAGACTCAGAATCATCCGGATTGAGAACAACAGCTCGTTGGTAACACTTAATAGCTCTCGGAATGTCAAGGGAAACGTTGGCGTAATAATGGCCTAGATATTTGAAAGATAGCCCATTCTTAGGGTTTAATTTGGCCGATTGTATAAAATATTCAGCCGCTTTTTCCTTCCCTTCTCTTCCTTTTTCCCATAAGAACACACCCTGAATCATAGTTTATAAAAACAAAAATAACTTGAAAGTGCCGCAGAGGGAATAAAGAAAAGGGCAAGAGAAATGCATACAATATCAAAATGTATGGAGGCGTCATCTGAGGACTCCTGCAAGCGTTGGAATAGATGTTCCGCCCCTTCTTCCTCCTGAGTCTGAGGGAAAAAAAAAAGAAACTGAGAGTAAGTGACCGGCACCGATGATATGACGAAGATTGATGAAATAGAAAAGCTAAGAACACACCCTGAGTGTTTCGGAATCCATGGGACCCAAGTCCTGTCTTGGTCCCGTTCTTGACACACTGCTGCTCGACTCCGCCCCGGATGCAAGCAATACTGCGAGAGCACCCTTTCCACTTCGCACTAACTATTAAATAAGGTTTAATACGTATTTTGGTCCCTCTTTTCGTAGGGTCTCTTCAAATTGGTCCTACTTTTTTTCAAAAGTTCACTAAAATCCCACTTTTCGCAAAAACGATGCACGTTAGTCCTTTTTTAGGTTTAATACGTATTTTGGTCCCTCTTTTCGTAGGGTCTGTTCAAATTGGTCCTACTTTTTTTCAAAAGTTCCCTATTTTGATCCCTATTTTGATCCCTCTTAGTGAACTTTTCATATTTTGGTGAGTTGTACATTTTGATCCCTCAAAAGTTCACCTCAACGAAAAATGTACAGCTCACCAAAATATGAAAAGTTCACTAAGAGGGATCAAAATAGGGATCAAAATAGGGAACTTTTGAAAAAAAGTAGGACCAATTTGAACAGACCCTACGAAAAGAGGGACCAAAATACGTATTAAACCTAAAAAAGGACTAACGTGCATCGTTTTTGCGAAAAGTGGGATTTTAGTGAACTTTTGAAAAAAAGTAGGACCAATTTGAAGAGACCCTACGAAAAGAGGGACCAAAATACGTATTAAACCTTATTTAATAGTTAGTGCGAAGTGGAAAGGGTGCTCTCGCAGTATTGCTTGCATCCGGGGCGGAGTCGAGCAGCAGTGTGTCAAGAACGGGACCAAGACAGGACTTGGGTCCCATGGATTCCGAAACACTCAGGGTGTGTTCTTAGCTTTTCTATTTCATCAATCTTCGTCATATCATCGGTGCCGGTCACTTACTCTCAGTTTCTTTTTTTTTTCCCTCAGACTCAGGAGGAAGAAGGGGCGGAACATCTATTCCAACGCTTGCAGGAGTCCTCAGATGACGCCTCCATACATTTTGATATTGTATGCATTTCTCTTGCCCTTTTCTTTATTCCCTCTGCGGCACTTTCAAGTTATTTTTGTTTTTATAAACTATGATTCAGGGTGTGTTCTTATGGGAAAAAGGAAGAGAAGGGAAGGAAAAAGCGGCTGAATATTTTATACAATCGGCCAAATTAAACCCTAAGAATGGGCTATCTTTCAAATATCTAGGCCATTATTACGCCAACGTTTCCCTTGACATTCCGAGAGCTATTAAGTGTTACCAACGAGCTGTTGTTCTCAATCCGGATGATTCTGAGTCTGGGGTAAGCTTCGTATTTTCTCGTCTGTTCCATTTGAAAGGTTCAATAATCAACATTATGGAAAAATGAAGTGATGATTTTCCTTTCCGTCACTTAACTCTGATTTTCATTATTTTTTTCACATCAGGAAACTCTGTGCAATTTACTTGACCAATGTGGAAATGATAGTTTAGAGGTGGTCGTATGCCGGGAAGCTTCTGAAATGTCACCGAGAGCTTTCTGGGCTTTCCGAAGATTGGGTTTCTTGCAGGTTTTTCTTTCTTTCGATTTCTTCTATTTTTCAAGAATTTATTAAGTCAGCTTTCGCCTTTTCTGTATACCACACTCTTCTGTATTCTGTAGACTCGCCTAACAACTGCATTCTACACATTATTCCTATCAAAGCCAGATCAAACAATTTAATTTGCAAAAAAAAATTCTTTTGACATCTGTCTATATCCTCAATTAACCTCTCTTTAATTAACTCAGGCTGAGACTGACATTTATTGATTTTTATTCATTAACTTACAGGTTCACAAAAAGAAATGGTGTGAAGCTGTTCAGAGTCTTCAACATGCCCTTAGAGGCTATCCTACATGTGCTAATTTGTGGGAAGTAATTTTCAGAACTCTGTTCTTTCATTGAATTTACCGTTCCCTATTTTTTTCTTATAAATATTTGAAAATTTTGTTAGGCTTTGGACCTTTTTTGATAAGTATTTAAAAGTTTTTTAGGCTCTGGGTCTTGCTTATCAGCGGCTGGGCAGGTTTACTGCAGCTATAAAGGTATCACTTTGCTTCAGTTTCTTTTAAATCATCTGGAAGATTGATCCCCCAATTACTATCCATCAGTCTTATGGCCGTGCGATTGAGTTGGATGATACCATGGTTTTTTCTCTGGTAGAAAGTGGAAATATCTCTTTGACTCTTGGTTCATTTAGCAAGGTACGCTAAGCTAATTACTAGTCATTATCCTGTTGCCTTTCCCGACCAACTTTGTTGTTTTCAGTGGTTGAAAGTGGAAATATATTTATCACATTTGGTTCATAGCTTGTTCCTCTTTTTCATTAGACTGCAAAATGTAAGCTATTTGTTCTCGTGATAGAGAATTCTCATACAAGTAGTGAAATACAATCTGGTTTCAGCCTTGAAAAATAGTTAGGTATTTTTTCCTTGTCAGTTTTCTGTTAAAGTCATTTATAACTGTCATTTGTTAGACAGCTATAACTGACCTCTTGGTGATATTCTGCAGTATACATAGGCATTGTAACAGAAGTTCCTCATTTGTGAAAATTTTTCCTTTGATACAAACTAATAGATGGATTCTAGGGCTTTTAGTTAGCATTATCTGGTTGGACTTTGAATTTGGTATATATATATATATATATATATATATATATATTTTTTTTTTTTTCTGGTGGTTATGGCTGGACTTACGTTTAGTTTTTTTATAATTTATCAAATTATAGCACCTAGGAAATGTAGAAGACAGTATAGAATAGTCTGTCCTAACCCATACTTGGCAAATATAAGTGTACTGTATTTAACAAATGTGTGATGAAGTTGTTCTATTAGTGTTCACCTGTTTTTGTTTATTGATGATATGTTAAACTGAGTCTTTCTACGAGAAGGGAGTTGAACAATTTCGACAAGCTTTGGAGATTTCACCACAGTGCGTGCCTGCACAATATGGACTTTCTTTGGGGCTGCTTGGTTTGGCAAAAGACTGCATCAATCTAGGAGCATATAGATGGGGGGCTTCGTTGTTAGAGGTTTTTCTCCTCAATTTTTTGTTTTTTATAACTAATATGTTGTTTCTAATTAAGTTAGACACTTCAATTTTTACAACATTTAGGAAACATCGTTGAATTGACTGCAGGAAGCATCTGAGGTTGCAAGGGCAAGTGCTTATTTTTTCAGAAACTTCTCATGTATTTGGAAACTACTTGCTGATATTCAGGTATTATTTCTTCAGTCCTGAAAAGCTTCTATTGTTTTAATTTTTTTTTTCTATAGGTATTTTTGGTTGAAGCGGTGCAGTAAATACTTGGCAATATATATGATGGCATGGATTTTTCTTTACTTGATGTATTATTCAATTTTATTTTATTTTGGACTGTTGCAGCTTGCATATGCTAGATGCTATCCTTGGATTGATGATTTTCTAGAATTGGAATCTAATAAGGAAGCTTTCAGTGCTTCTATAAATTCTTGGAGGAGGACCTGCTTTTTTGCTGCAAGACATGCCAAATTTTCATATCAACGAGCCTTGCATTTGTCTCCATGGCAAGCAAACATTTATGCTGACATTGCTGTAACTTCCGATCTTATAAATTCACTAGACAAAGGTTACAAGCAAGACATAAATGCACGGTACATTCTATGCAATCAAATTATTTTAAATGACCTTGACTATAGTGCTCCCCTCCCCTCAACTTAGTTGTCAAAGCAGGATGATGGCAGAGAGGATGTCTATGGGAGCATTGCTACTTGAAGGTGACAATTATGAGTTCTGGCTGGCATTGGGATGTCTGTCTGATCATAACGCACTAAATCAGCATGCCTTGATCAGAGCATTGCAATTGAATGTATCTCTAGCTGTTGCTTGGGGATACCTTGGGAAGGTATTGACAGATGTCATCAACAAACCGTAACAACCTGACTTGATAATTTCCATTGTCCTTAGTGGTTGGTCCTATAATATAATTACTTTTCTTAGTTGATACGACAGAAAAGAGAAGGATACTTAATAATTATAATCGATTTCCAATACTGATAGGAAACAATTGAGATTAGCTTTCGTCAGAATAGCAATTATAATTGATTTCCAATACTGATAGGAAACAGTTGAGATTAGCTCTCGTCAGTATGACAGAACAAATATTTTGGAAAGTGAAAATAAATATAGAAAGCTGTTGATGAACAAAAATTATTGCCAATGCCATACCTTTTCCTATCAATTTCTTATGATCCCCCTCTTTTTCTGCCTTCTTTCATGTTCAACCTCATACCTTTTCTTTCTTTCTGCACTATTTGCCACATATGTAGGTGATTACAAAATATATTTACTTTGCACTCAATGCTTCTTACATGAGGGATTGATTCCTTGCTACCACACTCATTTCTCTCCGAGGTGTAATATGACCTAGTGTCACAATGCTCTAACTCCCCCCTGCCCACCAAAAAAAAAGTGAAATTATACACATGACAATGTGAGTGGCTCCACTCTGCTAAATCTTATGTGTGAGTGGCATACCTCGCAATGAAACAAAGCATTGTTGTTTGTGCAGTTGTACTTTAGTCTGTTTCATTGTATCATGGCAAATTGAACCTCTGTCAATGGTTGAAGTTGATGAATATCAAGCTTCCGTTCCATAAGGACGACATGAAGAGAGAAATATGCTGATTGCATATTTGCCTAAGATATAAGACCTGGCTTTGCATTGTTCTTGTGATCCAAAACAGTGTTCCAAGCCCCTCAACTCTGAAAGGGCTTGGGTGGCCTCACCTGATTACCCCACCGTTGATTCAATGATTAGTGCGATAAATATGTTCCGGTCTTCTTTTAGAGTCAATTCCTTCCTTTTGTTTGTTATTCTGGTCAAAAGCTATTTCTGTGTTTGTTGTAATTATAGAAATAAGACTCAAAGCTTTTATAATCAGGAATATCTTTCTAATATCTATTATTAGGAGCATTTTTTACATATTCCCCGTATCATATCTTTATTACTAGGGGTTACAAAATCTCTTTTATTTATTGTATTGATTTCATTTTCTGAATATGAATAAACACTTATGCAGTCTTAGAAACACCATTTCAGCTCAAAGGCTCTCTATTTTGTATAGTTTAACACTGTTTACGAGCTCTCAGTTCACCTTGGTGATTAAAATAGAGTCAGTTTTCCCCAACCCAATATTGAGCTTCTAATACAGATTGTTTCCGCCCAAACTGCCAAATGCATAACATCATGATTTTTTTTTTTGTTTTTGCCGTAATTACATTCTTTAAGTTGAAACCTATATCTTGTTTGGTGAAGAACGAATAACATCATGGCAATCTTTGCGCCTTTGGTACATATAGTGATGCACAACATCATATGAAAGACATTTAGACTGTTCTTGGTGCAATTTTTTGAGCTTGTGTGTCTTAATGTTTTAAGCTATATCGTAAAGCTGATGAAAAGCAATTGGCAAGACAAATGTTTGATCGTACTAGAAGTATTGATCCTGAACTTGCATTGCCATGGGCAAGCATGTCAGTTGAGTCTTGTATGAGGTATAGTTCCTCTTTCATATATTTTTTGCATTATCATGTAGCAATACCATGTTAAATTTAGTTTAATCAATCTTACTGGTTTTCTAACCATATGTCGTCTTTGTACAGTAGGGAGCTTGAATCAGATGAGGCATTTGAGAGCTGTTCACGAGCTGTGCGGATAATGCCTGTAATATACTAATTCCTATTAGTTAACATGAAATGTACTGATATTCATACATACATACATACATCCACATACCAACATATAGTCCTGTTGTTAGGATTTGGTGTATATTTCTCATTCCTGTTGTAGTTGAATATGAGAATTTTTTGGTTCAGATCTATAGGATGGAAAAGAAGAAATTATCAGATACATTATTTTAGCCAAAATTTTTCTCTGCTTGTGTTGCATTAAATTATTTTTTCAATTACTATGCAGTTAGCTGAATTCCAACTTGGGCTTACTAAGCTTGCTTTGTTGAGTGGACATCTCTCATCTTCACAGGTTAGATTATATAGAAGATTGGTGATTTTCTGTGGTGGTGCTTCTTTTGAAAACACTGCCTACATTGAAATTCATGTCAATGCTGTTACTCATCACAGGTTTTTGGAGCTATTCAGCAGGCTGTGCAACATTCTCCTCACTATCCTGAATCCCATAATTTGTATGGGCTGGTTTGTGAGGCTCGAAATGATTATAAGTCTGCTGCTACATTTTATAGGTTAGCACGACATGCATTTAACATTGGCTCATGGAGTATTCAAAACACACATATGAGGGACATATCAATCAATTTGGCCAGAACACTTTCTAAGGTGAACTATACTAAAGATCTCTCAATCTTGTATCTCTGAAACCCCTAAGTGATATTCGCTAATGTGTTCTATTTGATACAGGCAGGGAATGCAGCTGATGCTTTGCAGGAATGTGAAAATTTGAATAAAGAAGGTTTTGATCCAGATTTTGCAATTTACCTATTAGGGTTCTTCAATTTAATTGTTTTTTTATCATACAAATATTGGGTTTGAATGTGAACTCACTCTTGCTAAAATTAATTTCATTCATGATATGTTTGCTAACTGTTTCCCCCCCATAATTCATAAGAATGATTTATGAAGTGAATCAAAGCTGTGTTAGATTGAACTGTGCCAAATGTAAATCATGTGATTTGGGGATGTTTTGTGTATGTTATAGTCTATATTTATTTATTTACTTTTTTTTTGTTTTGTTTTGTGAAGGATGTTGAGAGAGTGGCGTGAAAATTTATTTGAATTTTTCATTTTTGTTAACACCATTGCATGATATATTTTTAGGGGCACTTGATGAAGAAGGTTTACAAGTATATGCTTTCTCTTTGTGGCAACTTGGTAAAAATGATTTGGCTCTCACGGTAGCCAGAAGCCTTCTTGCAACTCTGTCTTCTATGCAAAGGACTTCTGTGGCAACATCCATTTGTTTCATTTGTAGATTAGTATACTACATATGTGGACTGGATGCCGTTATCACTACCATTGTGAAAATGCCAAAGGATCTATTTCAAAGTTCAAAAGTTAGTTTTGTCATGTCAGCTATCCATGCTCTTGATGGACAAAATCGTCTTGAATTTGTTGTCACTGGTAGCCGATATTTCCTCAAATATTATGAAGAAATTGCTGGGATGCACCTTTTAATAGCACTTAGTAAACTGGTATTTTTTTGCCTCTTAATTTTGATTCTTCCTGTTTCCTTTACTCCATCATCAAGAAGATAAAATGGAAAAATGTCATTGTATGGTTTGGACAGGTGAAAAATGAGTCTGATAGCCTTGACATTCGGAGTGGAGTTGCTCATCTGAAAAAAGCTATGCACATGTTCCCTAACTATAGTTTGATAAGGTAGATTTTTTGTAACGAAGACTAGTATTCAAATAGAATATTTATTTCATAGATTTCATGTTTTGATTTATATTTTAATCCTTATAGTTTCACTGAATTTTAGTATGGTTCGTGATAATAGGTTAGAGTTAGAAAAGAAGAAGGTTAAGATTAATGAACTGAAAATATACTGATGGGATGTAAGTAGTACAATCCCATAACATACCAAATTTGGCTAAGTAATAGCCCTATCCCACTAGTATTAATGCTAGAATCATCATACACCATCCTTTTGATAATTATGTGCTTGTAAGTTCCATTTTTTATTATGTTCTGGATATAGCAACTGATACAAGCAACCTAAGAGTTGACTAGCTACTGGCACATATGGAGAACAAAATTATACACTATTATTCCCCCTTCAGGCTCTAAGTGATTTGAAACTGAGAAACTAGGCACTGGGTTTATCTCTTAGGTCATAGAATAATGTATGATGGCTTAGTAGGTATATATGATTGATGATCTTTAGATGGAACATGAATTACCACCAGTAACTTATCAAGAACCTTCTCCCGTAACAAATGTATAGCTCCATGTGTTTGGTCCTGGAATGTGGAATAAGATTGTGACTCAAAGCCATGGAGCTGAGGTTGTCATAACAAATCATAGTTGTTCAAACATGCACTCTAAGGTAGTGTTTGGACCAACTATTTTTTGGCTTGTTTTCTCCTTAAAAGGAAAGGATGGGCCAAACTGATAAGATATAATGTGATAGGTTATAATGGGTAATGTGTGCAGAATAAAAGGAAACAGTTTAGGAATTAGTTGGGAGTTTTGGTTAGTTGGTTGGGGGGCCTATATAAGAAGGCAGGAAGCTCTTGTGTGAAGGAATTTTTGGATAATCTTGTAGATTGAGCTTTGGCTCTTTGTGAAGGGGAAACCCTTGGAGGAGAGAGTGCTCTCCTGTGTTTTGTGTTCTATACACTCTATACAATAAAGAATATTACTCTTTTCTCTCTTTTCAATTTTGGGTTCCTATCACAAACATTCCGTTGAGAAGAGAGAAACCGAGGAGGCATATGATGAACTCTGTTTGGCCAACAATGAAACTATTCAATTTACGAGATAAAACATACTTATGGACATTTTTGACATCCAAGCGGCCAATGTTAAAGAGCAACCAAGCAAAGGAATAAGCAAAAAAAGGCCATCTTTGTGATTTAAGAAAAAATGTCACCCATAGTCTAACCCAAAAATTTGTGTATAACTGAACAAAGCTCAGCTGCATAAGCTTCTTCAAATAAAACTAAGTTAACCCCTTACTAATGCAGCATAGAGGTCAAACTAGGTCAGTCCAAGGAATGCTAGTGCAATGAGTTCATTGATTGTATTAAAATGAAGATTTTAGGGGTCTTCAAATGCAAATGCAGTGACCAATAAAAACTAAAAGCTGGAACAATTTAAAACATAAGGACCATAGTTAAATGAAAGCTGTAAAGTTAGAATCAAAAGTTCAACTAAAATGGGAATGTGAACAGAGATTGTGACATTGAAATGGAAATTGCAAGGGGAACTAGAATGGAGCAGTTAAGAATTAAAGACAAGTAAAGTGCAGTAAACTTGGTGTATTGATGATTGCAACAACAAAACAGAATTTGACCAAAAAGAGAAATGTGCAACGAGCAAAATATGGAACATGAACATTACTAAAACTAGAAGATTAAAGTGCAGAACTGGAATGTAAATTGCAATGCAGATTAAATAAAATAGGCCTAATTAAGTTTCAAGTCCATGATAAATTTTGGAACTTTTAATTGAGTCTCTATTAAAATCTTCAGTCAATAAGTCCTAAAATATTTAAAAAACTTTTCAATTGAGTCCCTATTGGTAGATTTTAGATTTTAAGCATAACCCAACCCTACAAAACCGTGAAGTGAACTTTAAGACTAACTCAAACCTACAAAACAGTTTGTAAAGTGAGGTTTGCACCCACTTATATACTATAAATTGGTCTTATCTCTAGTCAATATGAGACTTCTAACAAAAATAATTACCAAGAAAAGAAAGAACCAACCCTAAAAGAGTTGAAAAAATTCCAATGAACTTCAATCAAAATTAAAGTGACAGATCCAGAAAGAGGATTTAGAGAGAAGTTTGATGCAGGTGGTTACCACTGTAGAGGAGGCAAGATGCATTGGCATGCACAACGGAAAGCGGTGGCGGCGGTGATGAGAGTTGGGGTGATGCTTGCTGGTTCATTGAAGCCCTGATCACAAACGTGGTGTTGCTGGACCAAACGAACAGGACCATATTGGGTGGTGGCAGAAAAGTGGCTTGGAAAAAAGAAAACTATGAGCAATACTGAAAATTGAAAGGAACAATTTTTGAAAAAGAAATTAGCATCGGTGAATGGTGGGTTCACTAGGGAGGCAAAAAATAAACCAAACTCCAGATATTATGTTAGAATAAAGGAGAGAGAGACATAAGCTGAATCTGTAATATGTGTAGATCACATAGGGTTATGCATTTATAAATAAGAAAATACAAAAGAGATGGGCCTAGGCCCATTACATCTAACAACTAGTAAATTAGCTATAGAAAGAAATATATCAAGCTACTCTTTCATGCTTTTAAAATCCAATAAACATCCTTCCTGGTGTTTGGAAATGAGTTGTCATTCCTTTTTTTCTTTGCGCTAATTTTTCAATAATGTTAGTCCCATCTTGCTAGCTATGCTTTTGCTGACATCCTTTCTATTGTACATTTTTCTGGGAGCAGGAACCTTCTTGGCTACCTCTTGGTAACCAGTAAAGAGCTAAACAATTATCATGTGGCAATGAGGTGCTGTAAACTGGACCATCTTGATCTTTCTGATAAAAAAGGTTTCAAATCAGCTGCTGATGTCCATGGTGCAGGAGCAGTTGCTTGCTACACCACTTGCAACAGCAGTCCAAAGTCCACTTTTCCATCTTGTGCTAAACAATGTTCTAGTCATCCTGGAGCTATCAGATACCTACAGAAGTATTATTTTTTTCTTTTATGCCCCATAATTGCCCTGGAAAATTTGATTTTTTTCCTTTATAAGTTCTCATATATGTTTATGCTATACCTTTTTGTTTAGCTTTATGTGGGGAAATAAGTATTTCTTGTGGTCAAATTGAGTACAAGAATTATATGTTTTTTTCTTGGGTGTAAACCTGGGAGAATGTAAACAGTGTGGTGGCTCGATTCAAGGTATCCTGGACATCCTTGGCCATGACTAATCATGTTACGGTATCATCTCAAAATTGCAGGTGCTTTCATCAGAAACCATGGAATCATGATGCCCGCTACTTGCTTGTTCTTAACTGTCTTCAGAGGGCACGTGAACAGAGATTTCCTCAGCATCATTGTGGCATACTAAATCGTTTAACTCAAGCAGCTCTTTCAAATGAATTGTATAGTGGGACAGGATTGTTGTTTCAATATAGATACTTTCAACTTCTACTTTGTGCTTCTGAGGTCAGTTTACAATGTCGGAATCATATGACCTGTATCACCCACGCAGAAACAGCTTCTGAACTTTTGCTTCCTGATGATTATTTATTCTTTGCACATCTACTATTATGCCGTGTGTATGCCATGAAAGGTGATCATCCAAGTTTTCAAAAGGAATATATGTTGTGTTTGGAGCTCAAGACAGATTATCACATCGGTTGGATCTGTCTCAAACTTATGGAATGTCGATATGAGCTGCAAATTGATTCAAATGCCACAGACTTGAACTTTGAAGAATGTGTGAAGAGAAGTGGAAAGTTGTGCGATATGTGGATGGCAGCATATAACCTAGTGAGAGGAATGGTTTCCTTCCAGAAGAGGGATTTATTCTCAGCAGAAGAGTTCATGAAACATGCTTGTTCATTAGCGGGTTTTGAGAGTTGCCTCTTTCTGTGTCATGGTAAGTATTTGTTTTTGGCAAGGGGCTTCATTTAACTAACTTTATATAGGCACACACAAAAAGGCTGAGAGATCCAATCCCATGCCTTTAGATATTAGAATCAATCTACTTATAGAAATTATGGAAGGATGGAAGAATTTTCTGAATTACATATATGGATAATTTTCATAATTATACCAAAAATCTCAATAACATTTAACACAATATCTCAACAACATCAATTTGAATAAGTAATATCTCCTATTATTATTAAAATTACTACTACTAGTACTGAGACTACTACTACTTATATATGCCTTTGTAGATACTGCTAGTTGAAGTTAGTTGTCTCTTGATCTTTTTTACCCTCGTCTCTTCGTGGAATGCATCAAGATGGATCTTTAGTTCATGTCCATCCATCCACTCATATTGTTCTTTTTATGTAGGTGTCATCTGTATGGAACTTGTCCGGCAGTGCAATGGCTCTCAATTCCTATCACAGGCTGTAAAGAGTCTTACCCGAGTTCATGAACTTTCACTTATTCCCTTACCTTTTGTTTCAGTACTAGTCGCACAAGCAGAAGGAAGCCTTGGTTCTAAAGAGAGGTGGAATAGAAACCTTCACCTTGAATGGTATAGTTGGCCATCAGGTATGATTTCTACTCTGTGTGTGTGCCCACATGCCTTTAATTAAAGAAGGGACTAAGGAATCCTTATTATTTATATTGAATATAGTAAGACTAGGTATAGGATTATTCTCCCTGATATCTAAACCATAGGGTAATATATTTATAATAAAGAATTATACAAGTATATATGGCAACTAAACATAAATGTGGTAAATAGAAGATATTTTTAAAAACAATATCAACAATATCTACCAATATCAAACAATATCAAAAGCCTATGTTTCCCTAATTAAATAAAATGTAATATATCTAACATCTATGTTTTCCTAATTAACATAAAACATAATATATTTAACACTCCCCTTCAAGTTGGTGCATATTGTTAGATGTTAAGATGTGTGTTTCTGTTATTTGGGCTTAGTCTATTATGTATTAAGGGCATTGGCCCATATCTTACAATATAAATAAATTACCCTATGTGTATGCAACACACACAAGGGATATTCCTCTCCCAATCTTCTCTATTTCTCATAGGTAATCTAGAGCACAGGAATAGTTTCCAGTCAACTCCACGGTACTCCCGGCACCCCTCACTGCCGCCGTCGCTGCCGCCGCCCGCCGTCGCTGCCGCGACTGCCGAGTCGTCCTCCCGACCTCGCCGGCCGTCCGCCGTCGCGCTGGATTTCCAGAATCGACCGGCGACCACACCATCCGGAATCGTCCTCGGCGGGCGACACCGTCGTACGAAGATTCGACGGCGAACGGACCCTCCACACGCGCCTCACGCGCCCGCCGCAAGAGTCGCCTCTGCCGCCATGCTCTCTTCCTTCTCTCGTCTCCGTTCTTTTCCGCCGTCCGTTCCCTGCTTTCCCCTCCAATCACCGTTCTTATCGCCTCCTCGCCCTCCCTCCTTCTCGGATCTGTGGGGTCGTGCGTATCGGAGCACTTTGAATTTTTAGGGTGTCCTCCCTCTTCCCTATGGCGTCTTCCTCGTCTACAACACCGTCTATTGTGGATCTCTTCTGATCCTTCAATATATACCAATTAGTAATGTACACTTGTCCATTGCAACCAGTTAGATGGCAAAATTAATGCAACATGGGCGTCCGACATCAAACTTTGGTTGACGAGTCAAGGGTACTTAGATCATCTTAACTCCAAAATGGTGACTACACTGCTCCCTAGATTGACACTTCCCGCTGGAAGTGAAAAATTGATGCTCAGTTGTGCATTGTTATAAAGTCCACCATTCACTCCTCACTGAAACAAATGTTTCGATCCTATGAAACATGTTCAGAATAATGGGCCACAAGCGAAGTTGTTATAACACCAATGACACTCAGCGTCTTTATGGTGTTTTGTCAGGAAACCTATTAACTGTTATTGGTCCGCGCATCATCCTGGTCCTATGGCAGAATATTTTGGGTAAAATCTTCAGACCCCTTCTTCATGACTTTAATGACTATCTTACCCTATCCTGTCTTCCACTCCCTGCTAAGAATTGGAACAGCCGATCAAAGTTTCTTCATGTTGTTTGCATTATAAACGGACTCCTCTGATGATGTTTTTTCACAATGTCACGTTATCAATTTGGTTCTCCTTCATACCCATTTACTTCTACTTGTTCTGCTCTTTTGCGTATACCGAGCAAACCCGTCACTGAGACAAAATCCCCTCATACTGATGATTCCTCTGTTATGGCTGCCTCAACGGAATGATCGCAAGTCGGTCCCTCCTCGAAGCCAGTAAGGCGTTCCAAAATGTGACCATTGTGGCAAGTTAGGCCACAAAATTGATCGATGTTTATGCTCTCCATGGAAACAGTCCTCCTCGACCTGTAGCCAATGGCAAATTCTGATCCACCCCTCCCCGATCACCGTCTGCGACCATCCTGACTTCATCTAATTCGAGACAACCCTGCAATCTTTAAACGAATTTCTCAAATGGTATGATGGATCATCAGACTCTGGTTTCCACTACCCTCTGCATCGTTTTGCACTTACAGTACACCCTTTTGTTTGGTCTACCTCACCTCCCTTGGACCTTA